CTGTATAAGTAGACACTTGAAAAAATCTCATCTATGGCAATGTGATAAAAGTGAAAACAGCGATATGATAGGAGTACATAGAGCTAGAGCTCTTGTTTTTGTGAGATCTGTTGTTTCAGCTTTTGTAGTTCACTGGCCAGCTGATTGACTTTTTCAAGGAGATTTTCCAGAGCTACCGTTTGCTCGTGTGATTTACCTTGATCGGCCAGTCTATAATAGTGATGAAATTATATTAGTGACACTCCCCAAATTGCATGAAAGTACTATATTTACTGTATCAATTGATGGTAGATTGCCTGAGTAATCACTTCCCCTCCCCCTCTCTCACCCTCTTCATTTCCCCACCTCCCGCGAAAAGGACTCAAGTGTCAAATTGCCGAGTAAATCTATTTGAGAAAAGACACTTCAACTTATTGACACAAAATTTTCAAAAAGTTGTAGAAATAGCAATAGCAAATAGCAATAAGATTTGTAGAAATTTCTTATATCTAATTGGTCAAAAAAGGGAGTGGCCTCATCTTGCTTACGTCACGCCCCTTTCCGACTATTCTTCTTCTTCATCCGCTTACCTTCGTAACACTTGCGCGACATCATCACCCAACGTAGGCTGGCTCTCGATATTGTTCACACGGAATAGCAGCAAGGTATTTAGAAGCAATAATCCACCCAGAAGACCTAAAGCTCACCTTAAATCAGCCAGTTTAAATTTAGAGAATTTTTTTAAACTCACAGATGATAATCCTTATATAAAAACTGTAATCTGGAACATTTGCGGCTACTGTTGTGATTGTTGTAGATGTGGGAGCGGGTAACTCTGAAAGGGAAAATTTCTTAAAAAATATGAGGAGTATGAGCGGAGCAAAGGAATTTTCTGGGAGAAAATCGTTTGGGTAACAGGACAGTAACATATATTTTGCCAACATAGATTGGAATCTGGATTTCTGCAAATTAAACACAAGCTATCAAACAGGATATGTAAGTTCATACTCTTTTATTAATTGCTTATTTTGGTGTAAAAGGTTCAAATGTCTTTTTCTGAAATCGTACCTTTTCTGACTACTCTTGCTCGAGCAGGAGTTCGTATCCTTGGAGCTTCCGTAATTGGATCCTCAACAGAAGATACACTGAAAGAAAAACAGTAAGTCAAATTGTCAAATCTTCGGTCATCTTGATAAAAATGTAAACTTTATATATTTGCAGAGTTTTAATGAGGAAAATAGACAACTAGAGAAGTGCAAGGATGCAAAAAAAAACTGAACTAATGAAAATATGTGCGTTAACATCGTGTAATGGTTTGATTGATATGTATTGTACATTTTTATCTCATCATAGTCAGACGCCGATTAAAGCTAAGACCCGGAAAGACCTTTAAGCAACATCTATTAATCATATTCTACCAAAAAAAAAAATAGAAAAATTGCAGCTTTTTCGAGATGTCGAGATTCAGCTCAGAATTTTTAG